AGTAGTTCTAAAATCACAGGAAGCTGCAGGAATTTACAGAGAGGTCCATTTTACTAGTCACTCATTTTCCCCTAATGTAAAATCTTATATAGTAACAGTAGAATATTGAAATTGTTATAAGTACAAACTGCAACACTGATGCTGATTTCATCAATTTCAGTTCCTTAAATAATGATTCATATTTGTTTAAATYCTTCTTTAGGTCACAACAAATCACTCTGTGATAGATGAGTTGATGTCAGTCACTGCTATAAATATGAAGACATTACCTTTTATTTCTAAAGACATTTTTCAAAGTGAGATGTTCATTTTATACTGTTTGCTTTATTTTTCCCCATTTATATATTTTGTATCACACAATGTTACAAAAGAGAGGAAAAAGAGTAAGGAACTGATGAAAATGATGGGTCTACATGATTCAGCTTTCTGGTGAGTGATACATTCAAGTAGTTCCAGTTAATAAATGGAAACTCTGAAGCAGAAAATAACATGTTATTGCTTCAGAATACCATTGTTTAATCTTGATATAGTAACTACATTATCTTTTGCTGACTTATTGATTTAGTCTGTGTTAAATTTTGTCATGGAAAATAATGCTTACAGTTTGCTGAGTAATTTTTCCTGTGCTATGAATATCTTAAGCTAACTCTGTTATAGAGGAACTCTCCTCTAGTTTATAAATAAGGAGAGTTAAAATGAAAGAGGGTTGCCKAGCTTTTGGTATATGTTGAGTACCAGAGCTGCAACTCTAACCAAAGAGTCCTGAAGGCACTTCTCCTAATTGATCTACCCACAATTATCAGCTGATTTCTCCCATGCTTCCTCATGTTGAAGATGAAAATGTAGGCCTATGAAGGCTAAGTTGTGTTCAGGGGCTGGGCCCAAACATATATTTTTTGGAGCAAGGAAATATCATATGTTGTTAAATGAAGTAGCATATGGAACGTGTTCARGAAATACAATACCTAGGCTGACATGTAGGAAGGGCCTCATAAGAGCATTTGCTTCATATAGTAGTATTTATATCTTGCTCCATTCCACACATAATTTAAAGTATTTTGAAATATATGTGTGAATATATACACATAACGAAAACATTAATAGATGATATTAGTAAATAGAAATGTAAATCATACATCCCTCAATTCCCAAGATGTCAAAGGGAATTTTGCAAGACATTCAGTGACAAAATTCATACTGCCTAGAAAAAGAGGAAAAGGAAAAATAATGTATTTATTTTACCCCAAAAGATACATTTTTGATATTGAATCTCCATGTAGTCCTCATATCAATAAAATATTCTTTATGCATATGGAACTACTTGGAATGAATAATTATTCACTTGAAAAATCCCTTGAAAGCCATGTGTTTCCTGAAATATAATTATGATCTAGGAAATTTTTATTATCTATAAAATATATTTACTAATAGTGATTTTTAATTCTACTATGTGTGAATTGTGAAATAGAAAAAGAGGAAACCATTTGTTAAGAGAGGGAGAATAATTTTTTTGCAATGGGACATTTGGAAATACAAATAGCCAATCACAAAATCTGTTAGGAAGGAAGAGAGATGGAACTCCTGTAAAAGGGGCCTAATTTAAATCCAGGGCATGTCCTATAGAACAGAATGACAGCAGTCACCTGAGATCAGGGAAGTACCAGTCAATCCCATACTAAAGTGAGAAAAGTATTATACATTGCATGTGAATTCATTCTTAGGATAATCCTTGGTATGCATCAAACTGAAAACTTAGCAAAAAAAAAAAAATATATATATATATATATATATATATATATATATATATATATACATATATATATCTCCTTAAAACAAAGAAAAAGATTCTGAGATGTTTCTACTAAGTTCCAAATGTGTCTATTTGAAACAAATTGAATGTCACTCTTTTACTGATGTCATACATGTGTAAAGTAATCATTATTTATTCTTTAAGTATGATGTCTAAATTGCTTTATTTTCAGCATGAGGGTTTTTGTAGGTTTAACATCTCTCTCCMAATTCCTTCCCTCACTCCTGTAACTGGTTCTTTTTTTAGATAATGTTAAAATCTCTTTCACTTGTAGTTCTCCTACATTGTGATTTTTCATTTCCTACTTAAAGTAGTTCCCTTCTGTACTCAGGAAGTGGAATCTGCAGAATGTGTTATGCTTTTAAAAATATGCTGATGGCTTCTCCCACAGGCTGAATCACTGTAATGATGTGAAATTTTAAAAGTCAAGTAAGTTGTAAATCTAGTATATACATGTTCTACTGGGACATATTGAATCAAGGTCCTGGTTTTAATATTTTTGTTATATTCTTCAGTTGTTTTAAGTAGAGGAACAAACTCTGGAGAGAGAGAGAGAGAGCGCTACATATGCACCTTGATACTGGTTTACTTTGTGGCCCTGAGTAAAGCCATTAACTAATAAAAAGATTACAGCTTTCTTTTTTTTGTACATTTCTTTTTAAAATTTGTCATTGATTTTTTTAAAAAATAAATGACAGCAGAATGCATTACAATTCTTATTACACATATACAGCACAATTTTTATATATCTGGTTGTATATAAAGTATGTTGACACCAATTTGTGTCTTCATACAGGTATTTTGGATAATGATGTCCATCACATTCCACCATCTTTGCTAATTCCCTGCCTCCTCCCTTCCCCTCCCCATCTAGAATTCATCTATTCCTCCCATGTTCCCCCCCACCCCAATATGAGTAAGCCTCCTTATATCAGAGAAAACATTCAGCATTTGTTTTTTGAGGATTGGTTAACTTAGCATTATCTTCTCCAGTGCCATCCATTGACCTACAAATGCCATGATTTTATTCTTTTTTTATTGCTGAGTAAAATTCCATTGTGTATATATGCCACATTGTTTTTTATCCATTCATCTACTGAAGGACGTCTAGGTTAGCTCCACAGTTTAGCTATTGTGAATTGTGCTGCTATAAATATTGATGTGGCTGTGTCCCTGTAATATGCTATTTTTAAGTCCTTTGGGTATAGGCCAAAGAGAGGGATAGCTGGGTCAAATGGTGGTTCTATTCCCAGATTTCCAAGGAATCTCCATACTGCTTTCCATATTGGCTGCACCAAATTGCAGTCCCACCAGCAATGTATAAGTGTACCTTTTCCCCCACATCCTCGTCAACACTTACTATTGTTTGTCTTCATAATAACTGCCATTCTGACTGGAGTGAGATGATATCTTAGAGTGTTTTGATTTCCATTTATCTAATTGCTAGAGATGATGAACATTTTTTGATATATTTGTTGATTGATTGTATATCCCCTTCTGAGAAGTGTCTGTTCGGGTCCTTGGCCCATTTGTTGATTGGTTTATTTGGATTTTGTGTGTGTGTGTGTGTGTGTGTGTGTGTGTGTGTGCTTAGCTTCTTGAGTTCTTTATATCCCCTAGAGATTAGTGCTCTATCTGATGTGTGAGGGTTAAAAATTTGCTCCCAGGATTAGACTCTCTGTTCACCTTACAGATTATTTCTTTTGCTGAGAAGACACTTTTTAATTAGATTCCATCCTATTTAGTGATAAGGTAGCATCACTATACCAGACCTTAAACTACACTACAGAGCAGTAGTAACAAAAACATTATAGTATTGGCACCAAAACAGACTGGTAGACCAATGATACAGAATAGAGGACAGAGAGACTACCCCACAAAATTACAAGTATCTTATATTAGACAAAGGTGTCAAAACATGCAATGGAGAAAAGATAGCCTCTTCAACAAATGGTGCTGGGAAAACTGGAAATCCATATGCAGCAAAATGAAATTAAACCCTTATCTCTCACCCTGCACAAAACTCAAAGTGGATCAAGTTCCTAGGAATTAAACCAGTGACTCTGTGCCTAATAGAAGAAAAAGTAGGCCCTAATCTTCATTATATGCCATTAGGACCAAATTTCCTTAATAAGACTCACATAGCACAAGAATTAAAACCAAGGATTGCAGCTTTCTTATTTATAAAATAAGGCACTTGGGCTAAGGCACACTGTGGTCTTGTTAGATCTAAAATCTGATACTGTGTCTGGATAAATACTTCATAAAAATGGGAACATGGGCACACCTGAAGCAAATCAGCATGAAAATGTAAATGCATACCATAATTCATGTCRGTTGCAGTAAAGAAATCATGAGTATGAATAGGAAGAATACATGGAATTACTGAAGTTATGGATTTCAACTATTAAAGGAGTGGAGGTGCTACCTGTGGAGACCCTCAAGAATTATCATATATCCCTGATGTTAGTAGACTTGAGTTATTTGACCAGCATCTGTTAAATTTCCTTCCAATTCTATAATTAGGACAATTTGTTAATATCTAATGCAACTGAAGATATCTAATGCTTATCTTTTTTAATTCAATAACTTCATCTTAGAGATGTTCTTATTCATTTACCCAGAAAAGACAAATACAAGGATGTTCTTAGCAATGTTGTAATAGAAAACAAATCGAAGAACTCTACATGTCATGGGCAGGAGAACACTAGGAGACAACAAAGCCATGCTGTCGTATACAGTCACTAAATTTGTTGTAGCATCCTTTCCCAGGATTGAAGCCTCTACCAGTGTACAGTATCCATATCTTTCTGTGATAAGGCAGTCAAATTATGTGGAAATTATAAACAGCACATTTAGAGAACTGGTTACCTTCATGGGAGAATAATGATCAGGAAATGGGTACACAGTGAACYTCTGTCATATTGATATTATAGCTGTTAAACTAGGTGTCAAGTATAAGGGGAATCATTGTTATTCTTTCGATGTTTTTGAATATTCAAAATATTTATTAATGAAATTAAAATAATTATGTAACTTTTTGTCTTTGCTTAGGTTGTCCTGGGGTTTAATGTATACTGCATTCATCTTGGTCCTTTCCATAGTCATTACAATTATCATAACATCCACCCAAGTTATACTCATGACTGGCTTTATGGTCATATTTACACTCTTATTCTTATATGGCTTGTCTTTGGTAAGTTCATATGTTTATTCACACTGTCTCCCCTTGAGTTCTTAGCTACAAGTAGTAAATATTAGTGTCCCTGTAGGTTAGTATAGTCCCTTCTTTCGTGTCCAGTGTGTGTGGCATGGTAGCCATTCCTAGTTATCACTTCTCCTTCTAATATTCTTTCCATATTGCTCTTTCTTCTCTGAATGAGATCCTCTAATTTCTTCTACTTGCCAGGATGTTTTCTGCAGAAGTTGTAGATAGATACCCTTCCTTAGCATATTAATTCATTTTAATTTTTCCAAGTTTATATTTGTACCCTATCCTCAGGTCTTTCAGCTTCTGCCCACTTCCTCAACAACAAAAGTCCACTGTCTGAGTAAGGTCAATAAGGATCCTCTTTTAGAAAAAAAGAAGAAGAAGAAGAAGAAGAACTGTGAACAGAACAGAATCACTATGCCTTACTATTTTCATTCTCACTGTTAAATATTTTTCATGATATAGAGATCCTTATACCAGTAGTTCTCAGTGAAGTAAATGTCTGCCATAGCTAAGTAAGTGTGTTCTCTCTTTCAGCTAGCTTTATCATTCCTGATGAGTGTGCTATTACAGAAAGCTGTCCTCACAAATTTGTTTGTGTTTCTCCTCACCCTCTTTTGGGGGTTTGTGGGATTCACTGCCTTCTATAAACAACTTCCTCCATCTATACAGTGGATTTTGAGTATTTGTAGCCCTTTCGCCTTTAGAGTTGGAATGACTCAGGTAAAAATATTGCTAATTAATTATTGAACATTCAAAAGAACTTGATACTTCACAACTGATTATAAGCAACACTATTTTCATCYAGGAACCTTTAAGTAGTTTTTCTACTTCAAAACTAACTTTGAAAATGTTCACTTTTCAGTGTACTAATTAAGTGCTTCACAAGTTTCTCATGTTATAAGATCTGTTTCATTTGTCACATTGAAGATATTTTGAGATACTGCAGTGACTTTATAAAAACAAGCACATGAGTCCTTATTTAAACATCTATACTTAGAACATTGTATTTTTTAAACCAGTGTTTTTAAATAATATTCTTTTGTTTACTCTAAAATGGATATGCTTTTTCCAGTTGTTTTATTTGCTTACTTACATATTTCACTAATTAAAAGGTTATTGAAAAAGCTAGTTAGTAATAATAATTCTGGTTTTAATAATAATAGTAATTCTAATAATTCTGAAAGTAATAGTTCTAATAATTCTTGATGCAACTTATATATTTATTAACTTAAATATATATTGTGATTTTTGGTTGAATCTTAGATTCTCCACCTGGATTATAACTTGAATGGAGTAGTTTTCCCTGACCCCTCAGAAAAATCATATACAATGCTAGCAACATTTTCTGTGTTGGCTTTTGATGGTCTTATCTACTTGATGCTGGCACTGTACCTTGACAAAATCTTACCCTGTAAGTAATGAAGTAATGGTGGTTTTTTTTTCTCTGACATCTATTGTTAATGATTATATCAAATAGTTTTTCTCAAAATTATGTAAATCTACTTTTTTATAAATGAAAAGAAAATATTTCTCATCTCAGAGCAATATATTCTTTATTTTACTTCATAGTTTTAATGGTTCAAAGGAATTTTTATGTAAAAACAACAATTCTTCTGACTTGAATATAATGTCATAATTACATGATAATACTGATTATACAACATTATAATTATGTAGTAATGAAATAATGTTAGTTTTCAAGTATCCTTGAATAGTGGTTTCAAAGAGTGATACTTAGGACTTGTGTCAGAATAAGCAGAAATTTATTAAAGTGATTTGACTGTGGAAGTGCTTATTAATAAATATTTGTTTAGTATTATTTTCAACATTATCATATATTGTTCATATTTACAGAAGTATATTAATATGCAGCCACACTGTCTTTATCTTGCAAACAACCAGAAATTTAAATAAACTCAGAACACCTAAAAGCTCACTAGACTCAGAATGCTTTCCCCATGCACAATCTTCTTATTCTTGGATATTCCTTCTGGTTTGACTATAGTTAGGGTTATCTGGTATATTCCTGTGTATTTATGTTTGGTCCTCTATTTCTATTACTTCTGTTTTATATCTGAAGGCCCTTAATAACAAATGCTACTTTATTTTTTTTTTATCTGGAAATAAATAGAAAGCACAACCATATTTATCCTGAACTAATATCTCCATGTGTATTTCATTCATGTACCTACATGTGAATATATGGACTTCATTATTATGTCCAGTTGTATTGCCGTGCTCAAGTTTTTAAGTTCATAGAAATGTTTATGATTAATATGTGCCATATTGAGAATTTACATTTTTCCAATATTTCATTTCATTCATTCTTCTAAATGCCTTTAGGGTCACATTTTATTCAAGCCTTTGATCTATATTTTGCTCAAAGTTTTGTTATATAGTTTAACTTTTGCAATGTTATTTCTTTTGAATTTTCATTGTTTACTTCATCATCAACTTTTCTTCTGAATAATAGCAAGTTAGAAAGAAAAGAATTTTTCTATGATGTTTAAAAATTTATGATATTCTAGATTGTTCAGGGGAAACCTTGTATTCATATTAGTGATCTGATATTATATTGCCTATTGATTAATTAGATGGAAATGAGCACCGCTATTCTCCATTATTTTTYCTGAGTTCATCATCTTGTTTCCGACACCGAAGGACTGATAATATGGTCATTGAGAAAGACCTGGATCCCGAGCATCCCTCTGATGGTTATTTTGAACCCATAGCTTCTGAATTCCAAGGAAAAGAAGCCATCAGGTAACCATAATTCATGAGTACCCGGCTAAGGAATGATTAACCAATAGCAATGAGGTGAGCCTGGGGCCAAATATTGAAGGGAAAGGAACTTGTCAACATCACTTAGCACTATTCCAAGGCCAGCCACCACCAGTTTCTCCTAWCTGCTACCTGAAAGGAGGATTTCCTTTGACCCTCTCCATACAATGTTACCAAGTCATGCTCCACCTTGTCTGCTTTTCTGCTTCTGTCTCTTGTGCGCTACCTCTTTTTATGCTATTTTCATTCTCTGAACCCTTCCTTTCATAGTTTTGTCTGGCTTATATGATAAGATGGAAGAAGTAAGAAATTTGGAATCGGAAATTCTTAGAGCCTTGTATCTCAATTGTTTCTCATTTGATGTGTAACCTTGAAAAAACAAGTAAGTTTCTCCAAGTCTCAGTGTCTTCTGTGAAAAAGAGTAATATCCACTCCATAGGATTGTTAAGAGATTTGGTAGGTACCTGGACCATACAAGGAGCACCTGAAATATCTATGTTCTTAGACCTTTCCTCTTATTTCAGTCCTCAGCCTTTAGAATTATTTGAAGTAGAACGACTGAACCCAAGAATCCATGAATTTTAAAAAGTCCTAATTTATTTTTCAACACAGTTGCAGTAAAAGAATCAGAACTTTAAATATCAAACATTTATTTACTTATCAGATATTCACATAGTACTTATTACCTACCAGAGATATACTTAATTCTTACTAAGAATTAAACTTGTAAGGCAGGTGTTTCTGTTTTCTACATTTTAAAAAGGAGAGAAGTGATCTACTGAAAGGTTAAGTTCCTTAGCCTAATATTTTTTATTGAATATATCATGTTCATTTAAAGCTTCCTTTGATCTCACTGTACYATTCTCTTCATCCCTCTTTACGTGGCAATGATGATAGATTTGGTATGTCACTGTGGTCCCTATTTTAATGTTGTAGTGTATCCCTACATGATATGTGGCAATTCTCTGTGTTTTTATAGTATTACTATTCTACAAATTATATCATATTGCACTTATTTCCTGTTTGCTGCTTTTACACTCAACAYTATGCATTTAATCTATCCATAGTGATAACTGTGGTTAATGCACTGATTTCAGTTTTAAAAACTAAAAATTTTAGTTTTTGTATAATATTTTAAGACATGAGTCTCTGAGCTTACTTCTCTCATTTTGCAAGATGGATACTTTGGTTATTTCTGATTTTTTGCTTTTATGAGCACTGCTGCCATGAACAACCTTTTAAGAATAAGCAATATAAAATAATGATTTTGTTCAAAGTTTCTTTTGTGTATGTGAAGGTGTGTGTGTGCACATGCATATGGGGGTTATACTTCTGCACATCTAGCAAACAAAAGCCAGAGCTCTAAAGTTGGTGCTGCATGTGACAGGCAACATAGTGATTCTGATACATAAAACATGAGGCAAAGGATGCCAAGAGATGTCACTGGAGCTTGATGTCATATGTAAGAGCCTTGACATTCCCTCTAAGGCTCACGAGGAAATCCCAAGGAACACTGAGGAGTAATTAAGATGATTTTTTTTTAAAAAAATCCTGTTTTCTGTTAAGAGCATGAATTCTAAGGGGAATAACCTGATAATAGAAAAAAAATAGAGGCAGTATAAAATAGGAGAAATGATAAAGGACTAAACAAGAATGATTATAATTAGTAGGGAGAAGAGAGACCCACCACTACAGTTTTAGAGTTAAATTTTATAAGAAATTGTAATTGGTTATATGGGTGATGGATGAGTCTGAGCAATAATAATGAAGAAAATAGCTGAATGTCCATGCTGCTAAGTAAGGTCCAGAATGGTGGAGGGGGAATAGTTTAGGTGGGAAAGGAAATGAGATCTCTTCTGGATCTTCAAGTTTAGAGCAGTTTCTTCTTAAACATAGCTTCACATTACAATCACCTGGAAGACTTTCATAATATCTCGGTCCTAAGCCTTCACCCCAGATCAATTAATATTTAATCTAATGTGAATCTTTAAGGTGGTTTGCAGACATCAGTTGTCTTGGTATTACAATGTACATTCAAGTTGAATAATCATTGATTTAGTTTTTGTGTGGAGAGAGAGAGAGAGAGAGAGAGAGAGAGAGAGAGAGATATGCAGACAGGATAGAGAGAGGATAGGTTAGTGTCAAACCTTGAAAATGAATACCACACTCAGAGAGTCTAGGTGAGAAGATCCACAGTATACATGGAGGACCCTGAGGAAGCACAAGATGATGTTGGAATATAGACACTGAACAGAGAAAGTCATTGATGGAGACTCATCCAGTGAGCAGTTTGCATTCGGTAACTAGGTGACCACAAATGATTTCATTAAAAGTAGGTCCCTGAAGTGGGTGGTTTAGGTCTGAGTGAAAGTGAGGAGTAAAGAAAAGGTGAGGAAACAGAGATGGCAAGTTTACATTTTTATTTTGAGAATAGTGCAAAATAAGGGGAGGAGAGAAACTGCATCATATCTAAATCAGAGTTAGAGTTCAAAGGCAAGCTATTAGAACACTCTAGAAGGTATAAATGACAGAGACTCTGACTACTGAATAAGAAAGGAAGGGATGGGAGACGAAGGGTAAAACCAGAGGGAGAAAGTGAGGATAATTACAGAGCTTTCTACTTTTCTAAACAAATTATTAGTGGTTTAATTGTGACTTTCCTTTTTTTCAAAATTTAKATGTGACAGCGGAATGCATTACAATTCTCATTATACATATAGAACACGATTTTGACTTTCTAGAAAGATTCTTTTATTTTCTGTGTCAGAGGAAATAATTCATTGCAAAATCCTGTCTTTCTGACTAGCCTGGCATTGCCATCTTTTATTTCACACAAGTGGCCAGTGGCATCTATTTCTACAACAGGTTTATTCATGATCTATGCTATTTTTACTTCTGTCTTGGCTAAGTAAGCATCCCTTTCATTATTTCAGGATTAGAAACGTTAAAAAGGAATATAAAACAAAGTCTGGACAAGTGAAAGCTTTGAAAGGTAAAGAAAAACATTGTATTTTTTATTACAAAAACTATGGGTAAAATTCAATGTGCAAAATTTAAAAATGTCATCAAAAATTAAAAGAGAAAAGTAAAAAGTATAAACAAACAAATTCAATGCTAACATTAGGACATTAATCATTACTAAAATTGTGCTGTAAAATTCTAGATATTTCATGGATCTATTAACTAACAGAAATGGAATATAAAATGAGAAATGTCATTTGACATTATTCTTTAGATTACTGTGCTATAGATAGTATTTTAATTTTGTATAATTTCTAGACTTACAATCTGATAAATTTTTTTTCCTAGTCAGGGAATTTACAAAAGTTTATATGCACTGGTGCAGTAGGTAACTAGATTAAGATGTGTAAAACCATTGATAGTAAATTAAATTTGCAAGTCAATATCCTATGACAAACATAGTTTATAACTTTGAACAAATATATTTTGACTTTAGATATTCTTAAAAATATAGTTTGTGTAAGCATTAACTTTGGCAGATATATTTCCTAGAGGACGACTTTTTTTTTTATTTAAAATGATTCTTAGGAGGAATAGTAATTATATATACAGAAGATAATAAAGAGAGCTAGGATTGTAGCTCGGTAGTAGAATGCTTGCCTAGAACATGGTTTGAGACACTAGGTTCAATCCTCAGCACCAGATAAAAATAAATGAATAAAATAAAGGAATTGTGTCAATCTACAACTAAAAATATTTTTAAAAAGCTTTTAAAGATAGAGAAGAGCAATGAACATCCAGTAAGGTTGAGGACTATCTGCCCATTATGTTTACACTGTGTTTTTTTCCTAACAAATGCAGTATCCCTTAACTCAATCTTATTTATTCCTTTGACATTAGTTCTTTATTTTGAGAAAATAATGTATTTTGTGAGCAATTGTATTCTTCCATTTAGACCCTCTAGGCTTTTCTCATCAAATACCATTTAGATATGTGATTTCTTTAATTTTCACTAACAGCATATTGGAGTAATTTATAATTTAAATTCCTAGAACACATTATGAAACATTTGTACTCATGAAATAACCATCACTTCTTTTTATGTTTAAATACCTTCAGCTTCCATAAGAACTTCTTCCATTTTTTAGCAGTACCTTAACAAATTGAAAACTAATGGAGATCAGAACATTAAAATATATGTACAAATTGGAACCATGTGGAGTTGCTCTTCCAGGAGTAGGTGGGGAGCTGCATTCTCTATGCTTTGTGCTCTACATGCAAGAGTCCCTGTGGCAACTCTGGAGCACCTTTGAGAATACACTCTGAGTTCCTTATCTACATCCTGTTTTTCAGTGACTAAATAACATTCTGTTTTATGAATACTATGATTAACTTATCAGGTATATATTTTATACCAGTGTATAAAATTCAGTTTTCACTCTCATAGAAAACACTATGGGGGGGCTGGGGATGTGGCTCAAGCGGTAGCGCGCTCGCCTAGCATGCGTGCGGCCTGGGTTCGATCCTCAGCACCACATACAAACAAAGATGTTGTGTCCGCCAAATACTAAAAAATAAATATTAAAAAATTCTCTCTCTCTCTCCCACTCTTTCCCTCTCAAAAAAAAAAAAAAAAAAAACACWATGGGGGCTGTGGCTGTGGCTCATTGGTAGAGTGTTTACCTAGCATGTATGAGGCCCTGGGTTTGATTCTCAGCTTCACATACAAAAAAATGAATGAATAAAGGCCCATCAATAACTAATAAAAATATTTTTTTTTTAAAAAGAAAACCCTAGTATTATCTTTGTTCAGTCTTTATAAAGGTCATTAATTATAACCTGAAGATAAGTTTCTATAGGCAGAACTATTCAAAGAAACCATATTTTCAAGATTCTTGACTTATATTTCAAATAATTTCCCTTGATGATTGGAGGAATTTATACTCTCACAGTCATACATAATTAATAATAACAAGAACCATAGGAAGAATAGAAAAAAACTCTTAAGGGTCTTTGAGAATTCAGKATGTACTGGGAATTATACTAAGTAATTTACATGGATGTTTTCCACTTAACTTTATGAAAAGTATTTTGATGTTTCCCTCACTTTGCAGATGAGGAAACTAAGACTTGCATTTCATTTTTTGCAGTGATGTGGGTCAGTTCCAGGAGAGCGTCAATGTTATTTTCTGCTTACTCTTGAAAACGTTGGGTACTTTCTATTCACAACACCATACATAAACTTTATACAGTACTTGTATAGTTGTCTTGACATTATTTATTAAATAATCCAACTTTCTGATGAATTTGAGAGATCACTTTATTAACCTTTATGCTTATAATGGTCCATTTTGGACACCSTTTTCATTAGCTGCTGTTATCCTAGTCATTGGTATACTGTACCAGTAGGATCATTTTAATCATGATATGTATTTCACTGTTGTTATTGTATCAGTAACATATTATTTAAGTTAGCATAATTCTCCAGTGTAAATATTGAATTTTGTGTGCTTTAAGGTATTGGAATGCTTGAGTAATATACCATTAAACTTGATTGTCTTGTTCTATGTTTATGATCCACCCTGTCTAATACTCTCCTATTTGTAATGTTACTACCTTATGCTAAAACAGGTGTGCTCTTTGACATATATGAAGGTCAGATCACAGCAATTTTGGGTCACAGTGGAGCTGGCAAATCTTCACTCCTAAACATCCTTAATGGATTGTCTGTTCCAACAGAAGGTGAGCACAGAGATATCTCTCAAAACACCATGTCTGATAAGAGAACAAAGTCATATGCTTGATTCTCTCATTTAAAATTTAAAAGCTTGAGACCAATAATGTTAATCTATAGTTGTTTCCCTGCTAGGCATGGTGAAGCACACCTGTAATCCCAGTGACTCTGGAGGGTGAGGCAGGAGGATCCAAGTTCCAGGCCAGGCTGAGAAAMTTAGTGATCCCCTAAGTCAAAAGAAAATTAAAAAGGGCCAGGGATATAGCTCAGTGGTAGAACACCCTGGGTTTAATCCCCAGTACTGAAACAAACAAGCAAATAAACAAAAGTTGCTTCCCCAAACTACATGATTTTGATTATATTTCTTATTTCTCCAAATTTCATGAATATCTTTTCTATTTCATTTTGTGACATTTCATGGGAAATATGCACTACTATAAGCATATATTTTATCTTATAGATGATTAGTAATTATTAATAAGTCATTATTTTAGATATTTGCAATATATGGCAATATTTTAATTGAATAAYATCTCTACAAATTAATAAAATATATTATCTTGCCAACATCAAATTATTTTTAACTTCTTTTCTTAGGATCAGTTACCATCTATAATAAAAACCTCTCTGAAATGCAAGACTTGGAGGAAATCAGAAAAATAACTGGTGTTTGTCCTCAAAATAATGTTCAAATCGACATGCTCACTGTGAAGGAAAACCTSAGCCTGTTTGCTAAGATAAAAGGGATTCGACCACAGGAAGTGGAACAAGAGGTAGACAGGCATGCTTGGATTAATTAAGCTGCTGATCATTGACCAAGTTAAATCATGACCACAGAATTCTTATCAGTRATTTCTCAGTCCTGTTGTGAATAAAATTTAGGCAAAGAGGTC